ACAAAGGAGGACGTATATGGAGCAAGAGTGAGGATTGTAGGATGAGATCACTGTTAGATTGGTTGACCTTTTAGATCTTGGTTTCGCTTCTTGAAGACGATTCATACTAGCAGATTGAAAACTGCTGGGTCCACTGAAACACGTTGATCTCCATTCTACCCGCTCCAAGGCTAAGCTTCTCCTTGGTGTTATGATGTATATTGACAGCTGACAATTTGCTCTTCAGCTTCTCTCTGTATCTTAGCCATGGGCGTCCTACATTCCTGTAGCTCTGATCTTACTGGCTGTACATTAGGATCTTGGGTATCATGTCATCAGACATTCTCAAGACATGACCAGTTTACCGTAACTGAGACTGTATGAGAAAAGTCTCGATTTCTCCAATATTACACCTGTTAAATAGGGTCTACATTAGATATATATGAGTGTGTACGTATATACACTAGCAGTATGACTCGTCTTTGATCGGGTCTTTCATTACAGGGAATTTTTCCTGTTCAATTGAAGCAGTTTAAGTTTAAAGTCAGCCTACCCGAAAATCAATATTAGTAACAACAAGTGGCTGCAAATGAAGCACATCACCAAATGGGTAGGGGGAGGTGGCCCCCAAAAGGGAACTATATAATAATAAATAATGTTATTTTAAGAATTTAAATTATTTTTATTAAAGTTTTTATGAAAGATATATATCCAAGAACAGACAGTAAATAGTAAAACGTTGCTGGGAGTTATAATGGACAGGAAGTAGTGGAGAGTCATTGTCACCAACAATTTCATCTCAAAACCGGCAGTGAAGAATTATCTATCAAAAACAATAATTACATCGAAATCGGATGAAAACTGTGGAATGTGTAAACAACATCCGATCATACACACAGACACACACATATTTTGAGAATTATAGATATAGATATGTATGGATGTGCGCATGTGCTAATTTAAAAAATATATATATATATATATATATTGGTACTTAATATGAAGGTGTCAGTGTAAACGCTCTTGTAAAACGATAAATCATAGAAGTTAACACAAACACGTACATATAAATATAACATAACTTGAAAAGACAGAACGTAACGATTGGGATTGGATTGAAATTTTTGGAGATTAAATTTGATTGGGAAGCAAAAAGCAGGCAGGGATTTAGACAAGCGAGAAGTTTCTGGGAAGAAACTGTTAGCATAGAACTTAAAATGTTACATTTCAGCTGTAACATGATGAGACTCTGTCGTCAATCGAATACTACGCTTTAACTCATAAAGTTGAAGAAAGCCCATCAGAAGAATTACTTTGATAATATTTATAGAAAAAGGACAGGGAAACTACGCTACATCGGTGATGAAATCGCTGAATAGGAGATGTCAGGTCAGAGCCAAAAACATTGCAGATTTTTCCTTGAACTTTATCAATAACATGTAAATACATAGCAGAAGCACACACACACACACACATATTATTATTATTATTATTATTATTATTATTATTATTATTATTATTATTCGGTCTTTCCAGAATTAGATTACCACATAAAAATATTACTTGTTTTCGGGAGTTATGAACTGAAATAATTGTATTATTTAAAAGGAATATCTTCATTATCTTTTCTATCGCAAACTTTTTGAATGTCTTTCAGTGTATATTGCATCCCGTTGCCTGAAGAAATGGAATATTTTTTCATACTTATTCTCATCTTTTCTACTGCTACAACTGAAAACCTGAATGGGAACAAAGAAAAAGGAATTCAATTATCTACGGAAAAATGAAACTGTTGTATTCAATGCCAGATAGTTCAATTGGACATATGAAAAATTCTCTCAAATTTATTTTGGAATAAAAAAATATCTAGTCTTTTTTATGCATACACCTTGTCTTAGTAAATGTGATCAGGTGGATATATTTTTAAGATGAAAAAGTGGGTCTTAGCCGTCAAATATTATAGTTCTCTAAACCGTCATTTATTCACCAGGTGAATTGAAATTGAAACGTTTGTCATCGTTTATGGATATACTACTAGCCTTGCATTCATTGGCTAAAGACAAACATCGCTTCATTTGTTAAAATGATGGTCATTTGTTAACCTGGGATTCCGTTCCTGCTTTGGTCATTATCAGATTTTCTTTTTATCGGTGTCTTAAATAGAACCTGGCCGGTCAAAGTTAAAAAAATAGTTAAAATACAAAATCCTATCGTTGTCGTTATCATCTTCATCACTTGCCTAAGAGTAATGGCTGAAATATTAGTTTTATGACAAGATAAAGGCTTGTGGCAAAATTGATCTCGTCACGGCAGTTTCACTCGGTAGCTGAATTTCACACACACAGACACACATACATACACACACAGATGTATGCATGCACTTGTGAAATCAAACAAAATCTTGTAAACTCTGGATTAGGCAGAATTATTGCATCAAGTTAATAATTACAAAGCTGAAAGAAACAGTAATAAAATAAAAAAAAAAAAAAATAGCAAAATATGATGATAACTGACGAATGAATAAAGATAAATAAGAAAATATCAAAAGGATATAAATCAGTTAATTATTTGCCATTCGTGATACACGCTTAGGCGATCATTTATCTTTTGATACATGACAGACGTGGCAGATTTTTTCCTCGCAGGAGGTTGTCATTTCTTTCTGCGTTAGACCAGTTACCATGCAAAGTAAAGCGGTTTTGGGGGGAGAAGAAGAGGATTCATACTTTTCCCCAAGAGTATTAACATGTAAGTGAATGTAATTCGACTGTGATTCGAACTCGGATCTCCGATTCTTTAATCCGTGCCCATTACTCCACCGAGCCTAGGTTTCATATATATTGCACGTCGTTGTCAGATATTTGGAGACACAGTTCTGTGATAATCAGTTCTCCAGATCACAAAACATCCCCCTACAACCTCTCTCTCTCTCTCTCTCTCTCTCTCTCTCTCTCTATATATATATATATATATATATATATATATATATATATATATATGTGTGTGTGTGTGTGTGTGTGTGTGTGTGTGTGTGTGTGTGTGTGTGTGTGTTATATCTAATGAATACAAATATTCATTCAAACAAACTTTGATTAAATAGAACCGACAATATTCTGTCTGTTTAATTTTGGATTATATTTTTCCAATTTTCGCTTTTCAAATATGGTGTTGTGTATTTGAATTGAAATTGTGGATTGAATAAAACCTGTTCGAAGTTCATGTTTGTATCTTTGTTTTCTTGAGACAGTTGAATAAAACGGGCTTTGAACAAATCAGAACATGAACCTACAGGACGCTCGTTTCAGTCTATCTTTATATCTTTATCTTTCTATCTTAGACTCTCAACTTTATATATATATATATATATATATATATATATATATATATATATATATATATATATATATATTAATGGTACATTTATATATATATATATATATATATATATATATATATATATATATATATATATATATAAAAAATTAGATTAAACCATGAGTTTTTAATTTTCCTTCCACATACCACTAAAACAACTTTACGAGATATTACTTACCAAATATCAGGCAAAATGGCGTACATAAACTAGAGTTATAACAGAAAATAACATGTCTGCAATACTTATGCGTGTCATTGTATATATATAAATATATATACATATATATACACATATATATATATACATGTATATATACATATACATATATATATATATATATGCATATATATATATATATATATATATATATATATATATATATATATATATATATATTTCAAAGTCCGCAATAACATATCGACGGTACTTTCAAGATATTATATTTATATGATTAATATACCTTGTGAATTGCAACTTATAGTTTCCAATATTTAAATATTTATAACAAAATATTTCGTCGTTTTGATTTTTATTATGAAATACAAAGTTTGTTAATCCTATTTGGAATAACTATAGAATCGTTTATTTATTAATAGTTTTTTAATTTCAGATATATAAATATATTAATTTCAGATATATAAATATTGCCATGGGTCGTAATAAATATATTAACTCAGAATAGAATTTATTTTAGAATAGAAACACAATTTTAGAAATTGAAATAAAATTTAGACAGAAATCTGATTTAAGAAATAATATCTGCTTAAAACAACTAATATATAAAGAAGAAGAAACTGTCTTTAATCATATCAGAAGAAAATCTAAGAAAAACTAGTAGTGTAAAAATCAAGAAAAGTGGTCAAGCAAAGAAATATTTGAAAAAATCATGTGTTGAACATGTAAACAGAAATAAAAGGTACAAAGAATTATCCATAGACATAACAGGTGACTACAATCAAGGAAACATCAATCTTATAATTCGAGAGATAAAGTACATATTAACTGATTTCTCAACAGTAATGTTATTTATGAATTCGATGGAATGGATGGTTGAACTAGAAGATGGTTTAATTGTTAATTCAGCAACCCTGACGCACGCTTCAGCCACATCCACATCGACATAGTGGGACCCCTCCCAATGTGCCAGAATTATCAGTATCAGTACCTCCTCACAGTGGTTGACCGTTTCTCCAGGTGGCCAGTAGCAGTACCCATCAGAGATACCTCGGCTAGCACGGTAGCAAAGACCATCCTTCAGGAGTGGATCGCAATTTTTGGCGTACCCAGCATCATCACCACAGACCGCGGCGCGCAGTTTCAGTCCTCACTCTTCCAGGAATTCACTCAACTGCTCGGCGTCAAACACATCAAGACCACCGCCTACCATCCCTGTGCCAACAGCCTTGTGGAAAGGTTCCACCGAACACTAAAGGCCTCTCTAACTACAAAACATCCCACCAGCAACTGGGTAGACGAGCTACCCCTAATCCTTTTGTCAATCCGCAACACACTCAAAGAAGACTTAGAATGCACTCCAGCCGAAATAGTCTTCGGTACAGCACTCTCTTTACCCGGCCAATATTTCGACGACACCATACCCAACCTAACCACTGCAAGTCCTTTCACTCAGGAACTTCGCCATAAAATGGCCCAACTGAAGTATACACCACCCAGGCAATCATCACCAACTATCCACGTTCCCCGACAGCTTCAGGACTGCGAGTTCATTTTTGTCCGAAATGACGCGGTAAAGAAACCACTAACACCAACATACCAGGGTCCATTCAAAGTCTTAAAACGCTCTGAGAAGCATCTCACCATTGATCGAGGAAGCCGGATGGACACCATCTCCATCGACAGAGTCAAACCAGCTTTTCTGGAAATATCTCCACGGGAGGCAGAACCCGTCTCAATACACCCAGAACCCTCACCTGCCTCAACAACCACGCAATCGCAACCATCACAACCGAGGTCAGAGCCAATCCCAGAATCACCCACCACTCCACCTAGGCAGACCCGTCTTGGAAGGAAAGTCACCTTCCCTAAGAAGTACAAGACATATATTTTCTTCTAATTAATAATGATCAATTATCCTGGGAGAGGGCCTTGTCGCAGTGTGTCCAAACACCACTCCCACCTTTTCTTAAACAACCCCGGATATGCCGTCCGGTAGAGAAAGGTCACGGCCCTTGTGTGCTAAAAATAGCAACGACATCCTTTCAAACTGTCAGAAACACACAAAACTCAATTTTCGCCACTAAACAAAAATAAAAGACCTTTAATTTCGAACCGAAATTAATTTAAATACAGTCAACAAACACCGAGCACACTTTTGACTGTAATTAATACGGCCCGAAATTAATTATATTCATTTACTTGTTTAGCGTCACCGCTTTCTCTTGTATGAACCGTCATATCTAGATGCCCGAGACTTCGCAGCGGTTTTTAGCCGGCCACGGAAGTCTAGTTTGGACCATATCAGGACCTGCTAAGACAAGCTAAGACTAACTTGACCAGAACTTGACTACCAGACCAGCTTGGACATGTTATGACCAATCTTTGACCAGTGACCCCATGCGGAAACGCTCAGGTTTCCCCACGAAACGACCTTGTGTCACATCTTGACCCCGTGGAGTTAAGTAAATACCGTATGCGGAAGCAGCCCGCCTTCGGGTTTCCCATGGCAAAGTCTAGTTTGGACCATATCAGGACCTGCTAAGACAAGCCTAACTTGGACCAGAACTTGACTTTTGACCAGCTTGGACATGTTATGACCAATCTTTGACCAGTGACCCCATGCGGAAACGCTCGGGTTTCCCACGAAAAACGACCTTGTGTCACATCTTGACCCCGTGGGAGTTAAGTAAATACCGCCGGCCACGGAAGCAGCCCGGCCTTCGGGCTGGGTTGCGACCATGGCAAAGTCTAGTTTGGACCATATCAGGACCTGAACTTGACTAAGCTTTGACCAGCTTGGACATGTTATGACCAAAACATTGACTAAGCCTTGACCAGCTTGGACATGTTATGATCAATCTTTGACCAGTGACCCTATGCGGAAACGCTTGGGTTTTCCCACGACAAACGACCTTGTGTCACGTCTTGACCCCGTGGGGAGTCAAGTAATCCCCACGAAAACGACCTTGTGTCACATCTTGACCTCGTGGGAGTCAAGTAAATACCGCCGGCCCGGGGAGCAGGAAGCCTCCTGATTCGCGACTTTGACGCGCCCAGTCAAGTCGACCAAGCCCAGCAGCTGACGGGACCCAGCAGCCGTAGCAGCAGTTTTTCAATCAGTCCTTTTCAGGGCTAACTTCGCTACTGCCTTCCCTCTGTGACGCCAGCTTACTCCTGCAGCTTCCAGCTCTCTCCTGCAACTTCCAGCACTCCTGCAGCTTCCAGCTCACTCCTGCAGCTTGCAGCACCCAGCTCACCCCAACAGCTTCCAGCGGCCTCCAGCTCACCCCTGCGGCGCTCTACTGACGTCCCGCTACCTATTCCAGCACCCGCTGACGACCTAATCCAGTGCCCACTGACGTCCAGCGCCCGTTATCGTCCGGACACCGTTCCCGAACAAACGACCTCTGTCGTCTTACCATCCACCGTTCGCAAATAAAGACGCGATTTCCATCGTCTACAACGGACCATCTGCGTTTGTCATCCTTCTTTGCTATTGCCAACTCCTTGCCTTTGTGTCCCCTGTTTTAGTTGTACGGTCGATTGGCACTCACACCTCTCGGCCCGCTGCAACAGATTATACGTTGAACGTTGCAAAATATATTGTTCTTATCAGCATATCCTGAAATTCTGACAATTATTGTTTGCTTAAAACATGTTTCATAGTTACAACTTTGACTTGCGTAATAAAGTCAGGTTTAGTACCCCACCACACACCCAAACTCACACACATTCAAACACACACACACACACACACACACACACACACACAGAGAGAGAGAGAGAGAGAGAGAGAGAGAGAGAGAGAGAGAGAGAGAGAGAGGACACAACCTTAAAATATCAGCCTTTAGAATTGTTTTCTCTTGGTCTCTATATTGCGCAAATAAAACTGCATAGAAGTGATTGCAGTCGAATTATAGCAAATACACAACAGTGAAGTGAATGAGAGGCTCAACTTGGCCCATCAAGATTAGTAGAAATAAGTAGAGACTTGTTTGGCCAACTGTAGACAGAAAACGTGATTAGGAGGAGAGCGCAATTGAACCAGTTATTTTCCCATTTTAAAGCTGATTATAGAGGACAAACCTTTCCAGAATTTTCCCTTTAGCAATGGAGGAAACATACAAAGAATAAATTATTGACAATCTAATATCTGAGGACATTTCTTATTTATCATTGTTCCCATAATTCTGTGTTTAGGCAAAGGAAATCCCAAGATGAGGATTAAAAACATATTAAACTTACAGTTTTATGGAAATGTATGTCAAATTTTGTACTAATAATCATTGAAGATTTTGAAACTGACGAAAAGCATAAAAATCTAAAAATGTGGAATAAGAATCTACAGACGACAGCATGAATAAATCACACAGAATATCGACTAGAGTCTTGGAATTTTATTTTATCAGATTTGACTCTACTTGTTCCCACCTACAGTTTTTCAGACATTTCCAGTTGAAAAATTAATATTAACAAATAGTGCCGCTATAATATCATAGCAACTCCTATTACTAAAACATCAAATACAGGGTCACACACACACACACACACATATATATATATATATATATATATGTATTGAAAGAGAGAGTCAGTAAAACGACGGCAAGGCTTACTGGAAGAAAGAAATTAAGAAGGTTTTCAGTTTATTTGGGAGTCAGACATTTCCCTTTTCAACTGCAGGCAAAGCGAAATAAATAAGATGATTTTATTTTCTTTTAATTTTTTTTTTTTTTTAGTTCTAAACGTTTCTGGTTGCCGTGTTCTTTCCATTAGCAACTCCATCCATCATAAATGTCCATAGCCATGTTTACTTATGTCCAGGAACGTGTTTCTGCTTTTGTTAGACAGGAAAGGGTGCGTTACTGACTTGAGCCGGGCCGTGTCGTTTCACGCTTACAAATATTCCCACCACAACTGCCAACAATGATAGTCGTGGAGCAAGGAATTAGCTTTGCACCGAAAAAACCTTAGGATTTATTGTATTTTTTTTATTACATTTATAAACACACACACACACTTACAAATCGAATATCTATCTATCTATCTATCTATCTATCTATCTATCTATCTATCTATCTGGCGTAATAGGTGCATATATTTCCCTTAATAATATAAATGTGTCATACACGGGATGTCTCTTTGTCTATGTTTTTGTGGAAGGTTTTCAAAACCTTCATTCCGAACCGATGATTACACTTGAGAGATGAAGTCCTTTTGCACATTTCCACTGATTGTATCCTTACATTATAAAATCATCAATAGTGTAACTCTCTAGTGTTACATATTAATAGAAAAATTGAAACTTAGTAGTGTCAACAGTAAAAGGATAAAATCTAGCTGTTAATCTAATACTACGCTTAAATTGATGAAAATGGTGTAGCAAAACGCAAAGCTTCTGAAAGTGTCATAGAAATATTTATTATAGAAAAAAATAAACTAACAAACACTCTTTTCAAAGATATTTTATTCAGATCTTTCTTAGCTATTCATGCCGAATATTATATTATAGTATATCTAAAAGACTTTAATAAAAAAATATCTGGCTGTTGCTTGAACGATGCTTCCACGTGTGCCTTTAAAAATAAATATATATTAACAGGCACATTGCCTCTGTATTCCATCGGTGTGAAATAAGTTCACCTTGAACAGATTCTTCCGGCGAACCACTTCCCTTTCGCTCATGTAAATTTTGTTCTTGGGAAATACATTTTCTAATGATGCCACTTAATTAGCAACATATGCCAAAGAAGACATTTTATGAATTATTTTATATATTTAATATATATCCATGCGTGTGCCTCTTTGAATCGGTCAGGCCGAAAACAATTCAGCATAACGTTACTAATAAATAATAACACAATAGCTTCTGATAGAAAAAAAACAGCATCTGGTGTCAAATAAAGCTCCAGTAGCAGTGAATTAAAATTAAGAAGAAAAGTAAAACGAAACTCTATTTCAATCTAGACGATTTTCAAAGGTGTATGTTGAGAGGCGCATTCTCATATGTCTTAATTAATTCATTAATCATTCAATTAGTCTGTCTTATTTGTGGATTTCTTTTAATTCACCTCAAAATATTATTAATTAAACCCAAAATAAAAATAAATACTAGAATTCACACAAAATTCTCTCAGGGTGAGAACTTCCAATTCACTCTGGTTCAGTTGACCAGTGCGAGCGCCCGAAATGTGGGCGACTCGGGTGCACTATTTCCAAGTGTGGCATCACCCTTCTCTCTCAAACCGATAAACAAACCAAAAACATCATTTTTTTCTTTTTTTTTTTTCAATTGTAAAAAATTCATAAACATACCTCTAATATCATTAGCACTTACAAAATATGAATAACTTCCTGATTTTTTGGTAATTTTCATTCTGAAGTTGCGAGTCAAGAGAAACAAATTTTGATTTAAAATTTATAATTTCAAATGTGTGCCAAAACGTTAATTAAAAAATAAACAAAACTTAGATGAGCGAAAGGGCAGTGATTCGCCGGAAGAAGCTGTTCAAAGGCAATTTACTTCTCACCAATGGAATATGGAGGCAATGTGTGCAGTTTGCTACAATGTAAGTGGCATGAAGAATCTGTGCCGTGAGGATTGGGCCTGGCGGAACCAAGAAATGGAGTTTTAATTTGATTAAACAGATTTTATAATACTTTTTTTATTTATTGAGATTAACTAAATTCCGTTGATATTCATGAGTTATCTATAAAATGTCTAGATTTTGTGTTAGGGTTAATACTTTCTTTTCTTTTTTAGTGAATTTTCTATGCTTGATTTAAAATTTATAATTTCTTTGGGGCGAATTAACATTTGCGATGAGTAACTTTATATTATGTGTGCTGAATTAATAGAAAAGGTATGTAATAAGTTTCAAAACAAAGGCGGGAATTCTTTGAAAGAAAATCTAGCATGAAACAAAATGTCGCCTCTAAGTGTTGACTTCTATGTTCACTTTTATATTTGCACACACTATCTCTGATATTGGACACATTATCCCATAACTATAGCACATCTTAAGACTAAATTTCTTCATATATATATATATATATATATATATGGATATATGGGGGAGAAATATGGAAAAGAGTTTTCGTGTGACTCGTTTCGTCCTTTAGGTCTTCAACGGACAAAATTTGTTACGTTCTTGTGACTTGTAGTAATAATATAGTATCAATACCAATGGTTTGTGAGTGTTAATATATTTCAAGACTTGCATACTGTGTCTGAGTTCAAACAGAGGTCAAATTTCGAACATCGAAATTTTAATATATATATATATATATATATATATATATATATATATATATATATATGTTTGTGTGTGTGTGTGTGTGTGTGTGTGTGTGTGTGTGTGTGTGTGTGTGTGTGTGTATTTAAGTTAGGCATATCTGACTGATAGATTCTTTCAAAAACAGTAGCCACCTCAGACCTTGTTCATGACGGCAGGGATAGTCTACTCCGCACATGAATTTGCATTTTGAGAACAGGGAAGAATTCTCTTAATTTCCCCAAATCTCTAGAATCTGTTAAAGAATGTAATACGGCTCTAATCTACTGACTGCAGAATAAATTACATTCCCAGTGAGGATGAAGTCAGTAATTTTGGATATTTGTTGAACTATGCTGACTTTGCTTAACGCTATAATTACGGGGTTAACAATGAAAGCTAAATTCCCATTGACGTTAATGTCCTATGGCAAGAGTAGGCCCGCCATTTTTATGCAGTAATTGAGTATTTCGTTCACCTGTACTTGCATGAGGATAACATGGGAACAATTAATCAGGAAGAAATAAATATTGCCAATAAAAAAAAAAGCAATCATGCAAAAAAAAGTAATTTTAAAGTTAATTAATCATAAACATTGGGGAATTTGTCCACAAAAGAAACACATTCACACACCCACATACACAGGCGAAAAAATATATTCATATAAAATGTTTTATTAAAAAAATTTAAAAAGTCGCATTCAGATTTTTCGTAAAGACACCAGATATACACTTACGCAGCCAAATATTTGGCCTTGTGTTTCCAACATATTTTGAAAAGTTAGCATGGACAGAAAAGCTCTGAGGGAATAAAATGTTTTAATAATTCAAATTAAATCGGGGCAGAGGCAGGATGGTCATCGTGCTTTGCTTTCCAACGAGAAGCGCCATATTCACTATTTGTGCCGGAGTTGGATTGACAAAACCTGGGATCACTTTGAGAATATCAGTTGTCGGGTTAAGGGAGAACTCAGTATCAATATGAAGTATTTATTGCTATATGTTATCGCCCAGCATCTGATTACTCTTCTCATTATTTCTTCGGGTCCTGGGTAAGACGATAAACTACGTCCAACAGCAAGGCCTCTGATAATACGTTTTTGAAAAAATAATGTTGTCAGCTGTACGTTTTTTGAAAAAATAATATTACCAGCTATACGTTTTTGAAAAAATAATATTACCAGCTATACGTTTTTTGAAAAAATAATATTACCAGCTATAGGTTTTGAAAAAAAATTACCAGCTATACATTTTTGAGGAAAAAAATATTAACAGAAATAGATTTTCGACAAAACAAAACAAAAAAAATACCAGAAAAAAAAAGTTGTCGGCATTAAATGACCCATTGAGGTTGATATGCTATAAAACAAAACTGACCAAACCAAACCAAACCACCATTTCTTCCTTCCTTCCTATCTATCTATCTATCTATCTATCTATCTATCTATCTATCTATCTATCTATCTATCCTTTCTCTCTCTCTCTCTCTATCTATATATATATATATATATATATATATATATATATATATATATATATATATATATATATATATATACATATGTATATATATATATATATTAAATGAATTTTTTCCGACAATATTTCTTATTACTATAAAAATAATGTTTATAATGACAAAAAATAATGTCGGATAAAATCCTTTCAAAAATGAACGCTGTTTACGTTTATGGTACGAAACTGAAGCTATCAGGTATAGCTTTATAGAAAGTTAAAATTTTAACTTTCAGATGAACACAGCAATTTCTGTGCAAATGATGAACTCTACAGTATTTTTCTTGAAATAAACAACACTCTGATGATGATATTGTGCTTATGTCGAAAGTACTCGGAATAAAATAATATAAAAGGATCCAATTGAAAATAAGTAGACAAAACAAATCTAAATCATTCAATGAAACACGTCTCAATGAAAACATGCTACCGAAACATATACGCAATATATATATATATATATATATATATATATATATATATATATAGTGTGTGAGAGTGAGAGAAAGAGTGACAGAGACATAGACATAGTCAGAGAGAGATATGAAGAAATTGACAGTTACTTTCCATTGTTAGATTCCAGTAGTTTTATCCATTTTCGAATCAGTAAAAAAACAAGGTAAACATATCCGTAAAAAGTTTTGGCGGTTACAAAAGTAGATATCTCCTCTCGAGATACGAGATGGAAATAAATTGTTTAGGTTTCACGCGGTGTTTAAAGTTGTCTTGAAAATTATATTTGAAGAAAGATGCATTGTTGAACGTATCTGCAGTTTAGTTTATTTTTTGCCTGAAATTTTCTGACAAAAGTCAAATTTTGATCATATAAACTTCCTTCGTGATAACAGGTCAACAAATGTTTTCATATAGCATAACCAATAAAAGATTAATATCATTAAGAATTTTCCAAGCTAATAATTCTGTATTTTAAAAGTAAACGAAATAGAAGGAATAGTGAAAAGTGCCTAAAAGATTGAGAGCTCTGATATTATACGATATCAATTCTATCATTTGGCATAATTTCCTTGGCACTCATCCTCTTCATGGTTTTATCACTTTGCTTCTGTCTTTGAGAATATTTCTCTTCATACAATGAATAATTATAATAATCATAATAATAACAATAACAATAATAATAATAATAATAATAATAGTGAGAAGAAGAAGAAGAAGAAGAAGAAGAAGAAGAAGAAGAAACCATCTACATGAATTATACACATGAGGAGAAGTATCGATCGAAAAGCTGTCATGAAAACAATAAGGATAAGGATATTAGACTGAATTACTCGTGAAATAATTT